CACACACTGAGAGTTAATATATTACTACCATACAAATATTAAAGATTAATTTAACAGTCAGAGAGCAGTCCAATCTCACAGCCCAGCACTGATACAGTGTGCTGAGCTTTAATATCACACACTACAGGCCGGATGTGTTGCTGAGTTTATCATCCACTGATTTCTATAGTACACATTGAAAAATATAATTGATCTAAAAACACACTGCATCATTAGAAACTGCATTAATAAAGTCAGCCGCTGAGGACACATGATGCTCATATTCAGTGATTTCTGGAGAGTCGTGATGCTGAATACAGCGGTACAGCACATTCTCCTGCACTCTGCTGTATTAGCGGGTTATAACAGCTCACAATATTACAGTGTTGATCAAGTAAAGGCAGTGTTGCTGACCTGTCTGAAAATCATGAAGACATATTTAACATAGCAAACGTTTGACTCGCAGTGCAGGTGCTGTATTACTGTGTCTGCAGAGATAGAGGATGCAGTACGAGCTCCTACTGTTACTGTGTTTGTGTGCGGTCACAGCTCCAGCGAGGCTCTACTCTATACATTAATAATTCCTTTAAAACAGTGTTTCTGCATCAGATCACACTCGCAAAATAACCCAAACTCTCCTCTTCATCTTCATCTTCATCATCATCATCAATGACCTCAGAGCTTCAGCTTGTGTTGCACATACATTACACTCCAGCATGCAGGATCTTACTGCTCAAACTGAGCACAGGATGACAGATCCTCTGGTCTGCGTGATCTGAACAGAACACTACATTCAGCTGAACCAGGCTAGAAATAGTGCCAATAGAAGGATGCATTATCAGTCACGGATCTTCAGAATGCATCGCAATCCTCTCTGGAGAACATTCTGAGCTTGGTTTATAACAGCAGAGGGCGCTCTAGGCTAGAGTTTAACAGCAGATGGCGCTCTAGGCTATATTTTTAACAGCAGATGGCGCTCTAGGCTATATTTTTAACAGCAGATGGCACTCTATGCTAGAGTTTAACAGCAGAGGGCGCTCTAGGCTAGAGTTTAACAGCAGAGGGCGCTCTAGGCTATTTTTTTAACAGCAGATGGCACTCTATGCTAGAGTTTAACAGCAGAGGGCGCTCTAGGTTAGAGTTTAACAGCAGAGGGCGCTCTAGGCTATTTTTTAACAGCAGATGGCACTCTATGCTAGAGTTTAACAGCAGAGGGCGCTCTAGGCTATTTTTTTAACAGCAGAGGGCGCTCTAGGCTTGTTTATAACAGCAGACGGCGCTCTGGGCTAGAGTTAAACAGCAGATGGCGCTCTAGGCTATTTTTTTAACAGCAGATGGCGCTCTAGGCTAGAGTTAAACAGCAGAGGGCACTCTAGGCTAGAGTTTAACAGCAAAGGAAGCTCTAGGCTAGATTTTTAACAGCAGAGGGAGCTCTAGGCTAGAGTTAAACAGCAGAGGGCACTTTAGGCTAGAGTTTAACAGCAAAGGGCGCTCTAGGCTAGTGTTTAACAGCAGGTGGCGCTCTAGGCTTGTTTTAACAGCAGATGGTGGGTAAAGTCTAGATAGGATACATGGCCGGCCGGTGTGATATGCACATCAATTTAGCAGCATTCTCTATGACACTGTATAACAATAATTATTATGTTTACAGTACTGTGACGGTTGGGTTTAGGGTTGGGGTGGGGGTAGGCATTAAAAATACAGTTTATTAGGTCATTTAATAGATAGCATCATTAATACTCAGTATAACTCCTGTTTTTACGGTACAGTGACAGCAAGGTTTAGTGTTGGGGAAGGGCTAAACGTTAATATAATTTAAATAACATAAATAACATAAATAATTCTCCTTAACTTCCGGCCACAACCATATTTGATCTAGCAACATCTCAGCTGGCGCTGTAGGCTAGTGTTTAAGAACAGATGGCGCTCTAGACTGGTTTTTGGCTAGTTTGTAAGCAGCAAGCAGTGCCAAATCGAGTAGAGGGCAGGGCTTTTTTACACATCATTCCCTCATAGCCAACTAACGATAAGAGGGGCGTGGCTAAGAATGTTGTAGCTGAAGCGTCAAATCAGCGTCACCAGAGAAGGAGCCGATCCAAACACAGAAGCAGATGCTCAGACTGAAGATTAGCAAAACTATAGAAGCTTTACTTCACATCAGGGATCAATCGTTCACCTGAAGAATATCAGCGTGTGCTAGCAAACCTTGATTTCACACAAACTTTAAACCTTTGCTAACTTTATCAACAATTAAGCAGAGTTTGGCTGTTTGTGAAGCGCACAGCGCCACCTGCAGGTGAAACGTAATCTCAGAATCTATTCGCGTGAGAATCCGGATGCATTCATAAAGAAATGTCAGAATCGGAGCGGAATCATCTGTGGGTTCGCTAATGCACTGATTCATCACCCCAGCCGAATTAAAGGTACTCTTGATATTAGTCTGATTCAGGAGCAATGCACCAAAGGCAGTCAGGAGAGGAGCAGTGTGCAAACGCGTGTGTGTCAGAGTGCGTTTGCTCATCGCGGCAGTGGCTGCAGAAAGCGGTGTGTGTGTCCAGAAAAGGAGTCCCAGTTCCTCCAGAGCACGGCGAGCAGCAGCACCAGCAGGAGCGAGGACACGGAGCGGCTGCGGGTCTTCATCAGCGGCAGCACACAGTTGGCCACGGCGGACACCAGCACCAGCAGCACCGCCATCAGCGCCAGCAGCACCGTCATCAGCTTGCCCAGCAGCGTGCGGGCGGTGGCGTTCTCCAGACCCTCCAGCTGCACCACCTGCTGCTGCTGCTGCTGGAGCTCCATCTTGGAGACACGCGTCTGACACGCCTCCAGAGCCTCCTGCACACACACACACTGGTCTTAATGCGCTGGGGGGATCACCTGGATGAGTTAGGGATGATGGAGTAGAGCGAGAGGTGGGGGGCTGCAGGTGAAGGTATGGGGGGTTAGGGATGGAAATGTATGGGGGGGGAGTTAAGGTTCAAAGTGTAGGGCAGGGAGGTTAGAGTTCAAGGTTTAGAGTGGAGGGGGGGGGTTACGGATGAAGGTGTAGAGCAGGGGTCACCAAACTTGTTCCTGGAGGGCCGGTGTCCTGCAGATTATAGGTCCAACCCAAATCAAACACACCTGAACAAACTGATCAGGGTCTTACTAGGTACACTTGAAACACCCAGGCAGGTGTGCTGAGGCAAGATGGAGCTAAACCCTACAGGGCACCGGACCTCCTGGAACAAGATTGGTGACCCCTGATGTAGAGTCTGGGGTAAGGGATGAAGGTGTTAAACGAGGGGGTTGCTTAAGGATGGGGGGTTAGGGATAAAGGCATCTAACAGGGGGGTTTAGGGGTACGGTATAGAGGGAAGTTAGGCGGGTTATGGATGAATGTGTAGAGTAGGGGCTTAGTGTATCAACTGGGTCAGTACAAACCATTAACTACTGCTAATAACTACATTAACACACACACACACACACCTGCAGGTCTCTGGCTCTCTCGTTGGACTGGTAAGCAATCTTCTCCTCCATGCTGGCCAGCTCCTGCTTCAGGTTCAGGATCTCATTCTGGTGGAGCTCTGTCAGGTCATTCACCTGCTCCTCTAGACGCTCACATCTACACACACACACACACACACACACACACACACACACACACACACACACACAGACACACACACAGACACACACACACACACACACACACACAAACACACAGTTCAATGTCTAAGGCAGTAGTGTGTGACTCTGTGGTGATGTTTATGAGTGACTGTGTGTGTGTGTGTGTGTGTGTGTGTGTGTGTGTGTGTGTCTGTGTGTGTGTGTGTGTGTGTGTGTGTGTGTGTGTGTGTGTGTGTGTGTGCTTTAGGTAATGAATAATATTCAGGAGAGCCGCATCATTACACATATTATTATTATTAATTCTTAATACAATATCTGCCGATATGAACATTAGCATTGAGGTGTTATGATGCAGTGTGTGACGGGACGAGAGGGAAATACAGAGTGAGATGTCAGGCTGTAATCAGCATGAGGGCATGTAAACAGAGACAGGATGTTCAGTTTAGGGGAACATGTTGATTTTCAGCTATTTCTGTGCTGTTATTATCAGAGAATCGCTGCACTGCCAGCTGGACATTTAGGGCAGAAGCATGTCTGTCTCCATCCTCACCATTTAAGAGGAAAAACGTCTAATTTTAGTCCATTTCAGGCCACAAATATGGAGAGGTCACGACCCAGAAATCTGCTGCAGGCCTGATTCTGAAGAGCTGAACAGTCTCCATACTACAGCTCGTGTGTGCCGTTGGTCAGAGGTAGAGCCGTGTCTACTGTTCACTAACACTACTCAGCTCGCTTTACCTTACAGTGCACATACTCCACATGAAGTTACCTCAGATATACTGCTCATATGAGGCAATGATGTGTGTGTGTGTGTGTGTGTGTGTGTGTGTGTGTGTGTGTGTGCGCACCTGAATCTGTCCTCCTGCAGTGTCTGCATCAGTACTGCGCACTCCTCCCTGCAGCTGCTCTTCAGCTCCTCCAGCTGCTCCTCCAGCTGTGCCTGCACCTCCTGCAGCTCCTGCACCTCCTGCAGCAGCACTTCCAGCCCCCCACCGGTCCCTCTGGAGCTGGGCGGTCCTCCAGGGGCCCCGGGGCCGCAGTGAGCCTCCGCGGAGCCCGAGGTGGCGCTGGAGCAGTCGTCCTCGCTGCCGAACTTCGGGCTGTGCTGCAGGCGTGCGGTGGCGGAGCCCAGTGAGCGTCCCGTGGCCCCGTCCTCCACATCCTCGGCCCCGTCCCGCAGCGCGCTGATGTTGTCTGCGCTGCCGAAGCGGTGGCGAAACAGCGAGGCGATCTCGCGTGGTTTGGAGGCCACGCCTCTGACGCTGTCGACCACGCCCCCGCTGAGCCCCGTCATCACGCCGCGCAGGTTCTGCTGCATGTCCCGCAGCACGTCTTTGGGCTGCCGCTGCACCCCGCTGTGCTCCACATCCCGCAGCCGCCGGTGGCAGTGCTCTAGCTTACGCTGCAGCTGCGCAATACTCGCCGCAGACTTCTGGTTCTTCTTCTCAAACACCTGAAGATGTGGACAAAGAAGCAGATGACAGTCCCGGCGGGGATTGACATGAGGGTGAGTGATGAATTATGAATGTGTGTGTGTGTGTGTGTGTGTGTGTGTGTGTGTGTGTGTGTGTACCTGTTTGATGCGTGCGCTCTGCTGTTTGTCGTTGGCATTGCTGGCCAGTTTGAGGTACTCGGCCACGTTGTCGTCGCGTGCCGCCTGCTCGATGCGCAGCTGCTCCGTGAGCTTCAGGATCTTCTGCTGCAGCTGCGCCAGGGCCTGCCGCGTGCGCTGCGGGTCCACACACACACACCGGCTGCGCTGTGGGTCCACACACACACACACCTCCTCTGAGGACAGCAGAGACGCGTCCGCACCGAAAGAGGCCAGAGTCGCCTGAGCCACTGCACCCTCCAGCCGCTCGATCTGCACGCACACACACACACACACACACACACACAGTCAGGGCACTTCTTGAAAAACAGGCCCGTGTGTGTTTCTGCTGACAAGATGAAGAAATCACACACTTCTGCAATCAAAAGCAGACAGAGGCTAACACAGGTCACCATCTCTATCACACACACACACACACACACACTCTTGTACAGCTATCTTTATGCTCTCCTCTCCTCATGTTTCTACTACTACATTTGGTCCTCACAACGTAAGGAATACAGGGTCCGAATACAAACACACACACACACTAATACAGAACACACAAACACACTCACATGTCACACACTCACAAGATACTCTTATACACACACATTCTCTTCCTCACCACACAATCACATATATACACACCCTCACACACACTCACACAGATACTCACACACATGCACACTCTCGCTCACACACACAGACACACTCTCACACAGATATTCAGACACACACTTTCCTCTCGTTTGGCCTACAGACACTTCTCCTGATTGTGCGCAGCTCTTGGCAGAGGCAGCAGTGTGTGTTAACCGCATGCCTGGGTTATTAGAGTTGCCCAACACTGAATATAATGCTGTAACATGTGTTTTACTGCAGATGCTGAGCTGTTGCTCATATAACACACACACACACACACACACACACTCACACACACACACACACACACATTTTTTACGACACACAAAATCCTAAATATGTATTAATGAAAGAATTAAATGACAAAAATACAAATAATAAAGTGAAAATGTCCTGTATATGTACACAAAACTAACTGGGACATGAATTAAGCAGCACCCTACTCCCTATGCTGACATGATAAAATATAGTCACTGCCTATATAATCTGTACAAATGACCTGTAAACAACAGTTTGTGTATAAAACTGACATCCTAAAATCTGAAAACTGACAACAGGGGAAATTTTACAGTGTAAACTAAACATGAAGGTGTGTGTGGAACACACAGATCAACACACAATACACACAGATGCTCATCTTTCCACCTGAGCATGGTAATCTGGAGCCGCTTCACACAGAGCGAGCTGAACACTGAGGTCAGTCTGCAGATAAAGACTCTGTCTGATCATCAAGTCTCAGTCTGTCTGTCACAAAACACAACACAGCCTTGCATCTGACACACATCTGACCCACATCTGACCCACATCTGACCCACTCAACATGAGCATGAGCAGGCGCAGAGGAGACATGAGCTAAAGATGTGCTGCAAATATCTGTATATTCCATTACATAATATTTCACTACACTCTCAAATAACCGCGCTGGGTTGTATAAACCTGATGTTGGGTCAAATATGAACATAAGGTTAAAAAAGTACTTTAAATTTCAATGAACAACAATAATATTAATATTAATAACAATAATAATCACCCAGGAGTGAACTATAGACTATTTTTGTGTTTGATGGTTGTAAATAATAAAGAATGTTTAACAAATAAAATTATTAAAATAACCTAAGAGTGGGGTTTGTGCATGTCTAACCCAACGCTGGGTCAATACAATACACAGCTTTTCATATAAACCAAGGAAACGACACTAATGTTGGTTTTATATTCGCTTATTTACCTGTCTCTATAATATTCACCACGCTACTTTAACTCATGCCAGCATGACTTGTACACAACATTAACACTGTCTAATTGACTGTGATCAATGCTGGACTGTGATAGTCATTGGCTGCTAATCTGATTTCCCTATTTAGAATTAGCAAAGAAAACTTTCCTGACATGATATTATTTAGGAGAAAGTCTGAATTTCCCAATATAACACAGCTTTACCGCTATCCGGAGCTGTGAGATGATTCTGGCGTGTTTCAGCAGCTCTGACGTCACTCAGCAGAACATGAGTCAAGCGGACGTAAAGGAAAGCATGCAGAAGAACACCGGAGAGCGAAAGATCAGTCACATCCTGCGCTCACATCCGCCCTGTCTCTCTATACCACATACATGTATCTGTCTATTTCCTCCCTCTCTCTCTCTCTCTAGAACTCATCGTGTGCTGTAGCCCTCTCTCTCTCTCTCTCTCTCTCTCTCTCTCTCTCTCTCTCTCTCTCACCTTGTCGTTCCTCTTCCCGCGCAGTATCTGCTCCCAGTGCATCCTCGCCCGGTGTGTGTGTGTGTGTATGTGCGCGCGTGTCCTGTCGGTAGTCGCCGGTTTCTCTCTACTGAACTTCTACAAACTTGTTTTGGAATCTCCGCCGAAGCCCCGCCCACTGACGTCACCGGCGCGGAGCTTTAAACATGACATCATCCCTGATTCCACAGCGCACAACAGACATTACAGACAGATAAGCAAGAACACATGCAGCGTTACGTCATCCTTATTGGGCTAATTATATATGTTTTTTTAATATTATTATTATTACTAACAATGTGTATTTATTTATTTTTTACACCTGGCAATGTTTATAGATGATTGTATACTGTTAAAACTGTTAAAAGGTGTAAAATAAATGCTGGATAAGCTAGCGGTTCCTTCCACTGTGGCGACCCCAAATAATAAAGGGACTAAGCCGAAAAGAAAATGAATGAATATATATATATATATATATATATTTGGGGCGACACGGTGACACAGTGGGTAGCACTGTCACCTCACAGCAAGAAGGTGTGTGTTTAATTTCAGTGTCAGTATTTAGCTGTTTTGTGTATTATATTTATTTATTTTGGTCTGTTTTCCAGCATGGTTTCAGTTGTACACCTCGTGGGCTCATATATTAATAATGCATCATCAATAATAATTCAAAAGGATGAGAGTAAATAACAGTATCTGTCTCGTTTTTAAAGCTCCAGTTGTGTGTTTATCTATCGAGACTTGGCAACACACCGCTCAAAGAGTCCGCGGCAGCAGCTGAAGGAGAGCGTCACATTTCTAACATCGCTGTCCAGATCTGAGATCTTGTAAGCCGGTGTGTTCAGTTTGTGGCTCAGAGTCGGCTCCGTAACGACACTGATGTTAATCTCTGCAGCTCAAAGTGAACACACAGCTTCAAACAGAAGCGTAACGTTACTGTTCAGACATTCACCTGGGTCATGAAGCTGTATTAAAGTGATGTACGGGGAGTCCAGACGTCTCAGCACTGCTCAGCACAGAACACAACTGAACGTACAGCAGACAGAGGAAAACACTGTACAAAAGCACACACACTGCATATAAACACACCTGACAATCTGCATGTGTGTGTGGAGGAGTCTGAACACAAACTCTGACTCGTGTGTATGTGTGTGTGTGTGTGTGTGTGTGTGTGTGTGCTCATGTTCCCGCCAGGTTTACTGTATAAACTCCATCTTTTGCATAGGAGCAGATGTCAGGGCTGTTTTGTGTGTTATAAATGATAATAAATGACAAGACAAACCCACTGCCGGACCAGTCAAACCCGTCTGATCAACCCAGCCCTGTGGAACTGCTCTCTCTCTGTGTTAAGGAATAATGCACAGTCAGCCAGAGGAGCAGTTTCAGCATCACCAGATAACAGAACCTGACATGATCATGACTCCAGGAGAGGAACACTGCAGTAATGTGGACACAGAACAAGCTCACTGCCATCCACCGTCAGAGAATTACAGCACAAATCATCAACTGAGGATCAAAACTGCAGAGTTTGGAGATGTTTGGACTAATTGAAACACAAAAAGTGTTAAATAAGAGTATTTTGTTCCTATATATAAGGCAGTGTCTCCAGCAGTCTACAGAATATCTGCTTTAGTGTTCAACAGGAAGAAAGAAGCTGGTGTAGAAGCACTGGAGGGAGAGGAGGTGATGAGGAGGTGTTGATGTGTGGGTGGACTGCGCCTTTACATGAGCTCCAGTGTTTATTGGTGAATATATGATGGACTGAGGAGACCAGAACTCAACATACAGAACAATTCAGCAGACAGAAACACCAGTATCTACTGTCGGTCTGCAGAATTAACATGAGAATGGAGGAGGTGCGAGAGCTGGGTCACACACACACACACACACACACACACACACACACACACACACACACACACACACACACACACTGCTCATGTCTGAAATACACAGATACCACAGCGTTCTGAAGGTCTCTCATCAGTCAGTTCAACATTACAGAATAAACTCTCTGTATTCAGGGTAAATATTACTATCATTCACTCATTCATTTTCCTTCAGCTTAGTGGCTTTATTCATCAGGGGTCACCACAGCGGAATGAACCACCAACTATTCCAGCATAAGTTTTACACAGCGGATGCCTTTACAGCTGCAACCCAGTGCTGGGAAACACCCATACACACTCATTCTCTCTCTCACACACACACACACACACACACACACACACAAACTCATACACTATGGCCAGTGTAGTTGATCAGTTCTCCTATAGCGCATGTGTTTGGACTGTGGGGAAAACTGGAGCACCCGGAGGAAACCCACACCAACACGGGGAGAACATGCAAACTCCACACAGAAACACCAACTGACCCAGCCGAGACTCAAACCAGCGACCTGAGTGCTGTGAGGCCACAGTGCAACACCACTGAGCCACCGTGACAACCATTATTAATGTCAGTGCAGTGAATTATGCAGTGTGTGTGTGTGTGTGTGTGTGTGTGTGTGTGTGTGTGTGTGTGTGTGTGTGTGTGTGTGTGTGTACACAAAGGCCCATCTAAGAAGGTGGAAATCCTCTTTACTGTTGCTTTAAGAGTCTATAACAATGCCTTATTCATCATCACCGGACAATTACATAAGTGACCGTGTTGCCCCGAGTACACACACACACACACACACACACACACACACACAAACACACACACTAATACTCCAGAATAATGTTAATTATTGCTGAATGCATGATTGTTCTGCAGGGTTGGGTGATTAACTCTTTGAAGGTCCTTTAAGGCAGTATTGAGCGGTACTGAACAGATTCCTGAGCTGCCGTCTTCACCGTGAGAAAAGAAACAGCAAATAAAGCATCAGGCGTCGCTCTCCAGCCGCCAACAGGGCTCACTTCTGATAATTATCTGTGCATCTCTAGTTATACGCTGCTGCTTGATTAAGCGCTATCATGTCTGCAGTGACAGTGTTCAGCATCACAGTGAAATGATGACAGGAATGATTCAGACATGATCCTGCTCCACTGCTGATTTCAGCATGCTCTAACATGACCTGGAGATCCTCCTCTCTGCTGCACATATCGGGCCCGACACATGCACATCACATTTATCATTTGATTATGTCTGTCTTGTTGTCAACTAAACTCTTAATCAGGGACAGGGCTGAAGATGATGAGAAGATGCTGAGAGTTCACGGCTCAACATGAAGAAAGATCAGCCAGCCTGTCAGACAAACATTCCCAGGCAGAATTCTGGCCCAGATTGGGCATAAATCTGGCCCAGCAGGCATTCATCCGGCACTGGCCTACAGCCGAACATGGCCCTGGTTTGGCAGAGGTGGCACCGTCTTTAAGGCAGCACACAATACTTGGGCCAGATGATAATAACTGATATGTGCTGACATGCACACACGGCCTGTCTTGACCCACATCTAAATACAGATTTATTCATTTTCTTGTTGGCTTAGTCCCTTTAATAATCAGGGGTCGCCACAGCGGAATGAACCGCCAACTTATTCGGCATATGTTTTACGCAGCGAATGCCCTTCTAGCTGCAACCCATCACTGGGAAACACCCATACACACTCATTCACACACTACGGCCAGTGTAGTTGATCAGTTCCCCTATAGCGCATGTGTTTGGACTGTGGAGGATCCCCACGCCAACACGGGGAGAACATGCAAACTCCACACAGAAACACTAACTGACCCAGCCGAGACTCAAACCAGCAACCTTCTTGCTGTGAGGCCACAGCACTACCTACTGCGCCACCGCGTCACCCTACATTGTTATCATTTTCAACTACAGAACATTAACTCTGCTAATCAGGGCACAAACACGCGACACACCAACATATCTGGCCCAGTTCAGGCTCAGTTACGGGTTACTGACTTGGCTCCATGTCTGACCCCTGTATGAAAGCCAGACTTGGTCCAGTCGTGTACCGTAAGTCACTGCAGCATGTGGGCCAAGCGGAAGCTGATAGTGTGGGCCAGAGCTGGGCCAGAGATATTTTGCTCAGTGGGTTGCTAACGATGCGTCAGTGTTTACAGCATGTTCTCGTGTCGTTAGCATGTTTTGGCAAATTACTTAAGCGTTTTAATATTGCTAATTTAAATTAGCTTGATGCTAGCACATTATTAGCATGGTTAGCTAATTTCTACAATGTTTCCAGCATATTCCGAATACAGGGCATGCTGTTAGCATTAATAGCGCGCTCTAGTACATGGCTGACATGTTTTAACAATGTTAGCGTTGATGGATTAGCATGTCGCTAGCACATTTCTAGCATATTTTAGTAAATTAGCGAGCTTTAGTGAAGTAGATTGTTGCTAGCATGTTTAACACATTTCTTACTTAAAACAAAAGACAAACCAATCAGAACAATGTGCTGAACTTGAAGGAAAAGCGGAGATCAGTGGAGACTAAACGAACACACGGTGATGTTAATCTCGCTACGCTGCTTTCAGAACTGCCCCGCTAACTATATCAGGCTTTACAATGTTTCCTCAATGTCCCTGTTAAGTCATACAGAGCTATTTTCTGGATCATTTGCATGTTTTAACAGTTTTAACTAATTTGTTTTGATGAAGTTTCAGTCATACGCCATATTAATGAGACACCTATTATGCAGAACTCACTATTATACAGTGTGTGTGTGTGTGTGTGTGTGTGTGTGTGTGTGTGTGTATCTCCAGCAGCCTCTAATGTCATCAGAGGGGGAAAGCCCCGCCCACTAGTGCCCATCATCTCATTAGCATGTCCAGCAGCCCTGAGTGAGAAGCAGCCGTCTGTCCATTCGCCATAAGAGTGTTTGAGCTGCTGAAGATGATGTCAGCATAGACTAAGAGGATTATAGATGTGGAGCTTTAGATGAACAGAGACAGGAGCCACATCACACACACTCACACTGAAGCACACACACACACTTGACTAGCACTCACAACACACACACTGCTGTTTCACATCTGTCGCACAGCCGTCTGTAGCTCCGCCCTCTTCTGAAAAGAGCACAATCTCATTTGCATTTAAAGCGACACAAACACACACACACACACACACACACACACACACACTGAACTCACGGTGCCGGTGGGTGAGGTGGACGGCGAGGGGTCAGGTGTGATCAGGTTGAGAATCACGTCCATTGGAGAAATCATTGATCCAGCAAACATCTACAGCTTCACTCAGAGTTTGTCACACACACACACACAGCGCTTACAGCACACACACACACACACACACAGCATGAGGAGC